TGATTCACTCTTGTCCAGCTTTCATCAACTAGCACTACATCGTCCGCGAAAAGCGTACACCAAGGGATGTCCCCTTGTATGTCCCTTGTGACCTCATCCATCACTAAGGCAAACAAATAAGGGCTCAAAGCTGACTCTTGATGTAGTCCTATCCTAATCGGGAAGTCATCCGTGTCTCCATCACTTGTTCGAACACTAGTCACAACATTGTTGTACATGTCCTTAATGAGACCGACGTACTTCGTTGGGACTTTATGTTTGTCCAAAGCCCACCACATAATATTCCTTGGTATTTTATCATAAGCCTTCTCCAAGTCAATAAAAACATGTGTAGGTCCTTCTTCTTCTCCCTATACCGCTCCATAACTTGTCTTATTAAGAAAATGGCTTCCATGGTTGACCTTCCAGGCATAAAACCAAATTGGTTCATAGAGACCTGCGTTATTGCTCTCAAGCGATGCTCGATAACTCTCTCCCATAGCTTCATAAGTTAAAGGGGTTTAATTTCGTAGAAAGCTTGCTGAGCAAAATTTGACGTGGTGCAGCATGAATCGTACTCTGGTAAACACATATGACCACAACAGCGTGAGGGAAAAATTACATTTCAGCACTGATGCTATGAACTGAATTAACATATGTACATGCTGAAACTAAACCAAACGATGCATGTGAGCAATCTACTTCGCTTCAAAACTGCAAATCAGGGAAGACCAATATCCTATTTGTTTGAATTAACATATGTACATGATGAAACTAAAGCAAACAATGCATGTGAGCAATATACTTAGCTTTAGAACTGCAAATCAGAGAAGACCAATATCCTACTTGGTGAAGTACTAAATCAGGGAAGACCAATATCCTATTGTAAAACTAATAAATCTCTTAGTAGATGAATGCAAAAAAACTCGAACCTTTTCTGTTCGTGCCGCTGCAACCATGGAGGCACCGCTCCGATCACAACAGGAACCTAGGGTTTCCTGTGGCACAACACCACACACGGAGCAGAGGAAGGAGGCGGCGTCGGGGAGGTAGCCATGCCGGCGGTGCTTGCCCGGCTGACATGACGGGGGGTGGAGGAGGATTGAGGCCACAGCTGCGTCGCCCCACTTGCGCGCACTGGCTGCCGTCGCCCTGGCTATATTGGGAGAGAGAGGGAGCGAGCGGAGAGGAGAGGGGGGGGAGGCACGCCGGGGGGGAGGGGGAGGAGGAGGGGAGGGCGGCCGCAGCTGTGCCGCCCTGCCCGTGCGCTCCATTTGTCGTCGCCCTGGCCGCATGGATCGAGAGAGGGAGAGAGAGAGAGCGAGCGGAGAGGAGGAGGGCGTCGGGGTCGGGAAGGGAAAGGAGCTGGAAGGAGAAGTTGGAGCCGCGGTATATATTTGTTTCACTGGATTCGAAGACGAAACCGGAGAAGCACATGAGAAGCAGGAGGAGCTGCTCCCAGGGGAATCGGCTTCAAGAAATCTCAGCCATTGATTCGCAGATCCGATGGATCCAACAAATTTGGAGCGTCGTGGCCGTGTTTTCTGGGCGAGGAGCTGACGCGATCTATATATAGTTTAATTTTAAAAACTGTAACAGCAGTCGCCCAGTGCCTAGCCACAGGCTCGATGGAGGGCTTTCGATCGTGTCGTGTAGCGAGGCGTACATTGTATTGTACTATTGTACGTATGAGTAACAACACTGCATCAGTGCATGGATGAAAATGGTCGGGAATAGTCAGGAAAAACATCTGAACTACTTTTAATATAATATTTCATATTTTTACGTGAAAACGGAAACGAAATGCAGCCTGTTTATTTCGGCTTATACGATCGTGGATTATAAGTTAGAACGGTATTTTTCTCTCACACCAAACTAACCCACAATACTTTTGGCTTATAATCCACGATCGTTTCAGCCGAAACGAACAGGCCGATGAAAATTCCAATCGAGAAACGGAAACGGTTATATCGGGAAATAAAAAAAACGAAATAATATGGTCAGAAACGTGTCGGTAATGGTTGAGAACTGATAATTTAAATCCGGAACACTAAACAACGTGGTCAAGAGTCAAGACTAACGCCTTCATGTTTTGGTGGCCACAAACCAACTACATAAGATGGTACAAATCCACAGAGCATGAGGTATGGTAGACTTATTCAATGCCTATTTTTTTAGAAAAATCGATTAGAGAATATCTGTTTTGATTTTCATTATTTACTTTAGAATCCAAATTCTTTTAAAAAAAGATGGAAAAGGAAAGAAATGCTAAAGACATGCACTCAACTGAATCTCTGTTTGGTTCTCTATAGATAATAGTTATCTCTATTAAATCTAAACAGGTGTGGTTAATAAAATAACTAATTGTTAGTTGGACCTACAGATAATAACAATCTCACTAGTTGAACCAAATGAGATAATAACAGCTAATAGTTATCTTCGACCCTTTTTGAATTCATTATCTACTAATAATTAGCTGGCTAATAGCTCATATCTAACATTAGCTAGCTAACTGTTAGCTACCTATTAGGTGGAGAGTGTTTGGATGCACAGCTAATAAAAAAATGCTATTAACATAACTATTAGTTGCTATTATCTTATTTGGCCAACTAGTGAGATAGTTATTATCTAGAGGTCCAGCTAACAATTAGCTATTTTATTAGCTTCATCTATTTGGATTCAAAACAGACAACTATTAGTAGATAGTTATTATCGTCTAAAGGGATCAAACAGGACCTTAGTAACATTATTTATTAGTTGTGCATCCACTCTCTAGCTAATAGGTATCTAATAATTAGCTAGCTAATATAAAATATGAGCTATTAACCAGCTAATTATTAGCAGATAAGAATCCTGAGTCTCAACATGAGATAGAACAAGAGCGAACTCCCAGGTGGATCGTGAATAGAGTTGGGCCAAACCTGACACCCAGCGTTCTTGGTCCGCAGGAGACCGGTAGCACCACACAAGAGCTAGCGGTCTGCTGTCTGCCGCAAGCTGAATTTGTCCCACCTCGCTACCAGAACATGAACCACTACCCAGTATATTAGGGCAGTCTGAACTCAAAAACTAGGGAACTATTTGAGGAAAAAAAATTATGCGACGATTGGAATTACAACCTGGCGTGCGGCACCACCTAGTCTACTGGATTGTTTCCGTGCGTGCGCATGCAGGGCGGTTATTTCGGGCCAAAAAGTCCCGTCGGGCCTCATTTTTTTGACCAGGCCAGGGACTGGGTGGGCCACCCACGTATTTTTACAGTGTAAAATAGCTAAAAGCAACTTTTCGAGCTAGGTTCAGGCCAAGAAATTTTTTTCTGGACAACGGAACTGTGCTCAGGCCTTGTCCAATAAGGTTCGTGGGCGGACCAAAACCCATCAGGCTTGGGCCGAGCCCGAGGGCCGGGCTCAATTTGCTCAAGTCTAGTTGCATCTGCACCTGTTGCGTGAAGCTTGCGGTGCTTTGACTCCCTTAAATACGTGCCGCGTCAGGATGGATAGCTTCGCACGCGACACACCTATTGTATTCCTACTTTATTCCCCATCATCTTCCTCCTCCCTCCCTTGTACCCATGTTCCTCCTTCCTCTCATCGCCTCGACCACCGCCCCCGCTGCCGGCAACCTCCTCGACCGCCGCCCACCAACACGGGACCATCCCGCCTTTCTCTAGTCTCAATCGGACAGTTCGTCGGCGACTCCTCGCCCCGCCGCTGGCACCGCGCAATCCGGTTGTCTCCTACCGCCCGCTCGGCGTGCCGTCTCGCTCTTCGCCCCTCAACCCGCCACCATCACCTGGGCGGTCGTCGCCGTCGGGCTCTTCCCTTTCTAATCCCGCTGGCCATGGAAGGCTCCCCTAAAAAATCTAAAACCCTAACCGTCGCCTCCTTCTCCACCGCCTCGGCCCGCAGCGATCACGCCACCGACCATCCCGCCCATCACCCGCCTCCCCCCTTCGGATTTTGCCAGCGTCCTCGCATGTGCGTCGGCACCAAGTAAGAATTTGGGCGGCGCTCCTGCTCCTGTTTGAAATCGTGCACTGTTGTCAAATACCACCTCATTCATGTGTGATTCGTCCCCTAGGAGAACGGATTGATATGGCCCCCTTGTTTTCTTCCAAACCTAGTTCCTCGAAGAGATTTGATAGTTTATGAGAAATTAATTTCATTGTCGATGATCTTGTGAAATCTAGTATTTTGCTGGTTGCTTGTCACAGTCGATGAACCTCTCTTTTTTTAGCATGATGAACCTCTTTTTTGTGCGTTTATGTTTTTGTTCTATATATAGAAACTGCTATGGAAATCATGGGTTAGAAAGAATAGTTTCTACTAGATATTAATTGTTCTATTTCTTCTCTAGAAACTATCTATGAAAGCTATAGGTTGGGACTGCCCTTATGCTACGTACTTAGGTATGCATTATGTCTAGATAAAAAAACATTATATCTAGAAAACTAAAACATCTTATAATTTGTAATAGAGGGATACTTTTTTTAATTCACCAGGAAACATATTTTCTTAGTATTTCTATCTAGAATCATAATTATCAATACTGTTTTCATGAACTCAGTTAAATTTTACATAGTTTGGTTTGAACCAAATCTAGATGCACACTCTTTTGGACGAAGGGAGTATGGTTTTCAGTATTGGATAATTTTTTTTTCAAATTTAGAATAGAATTGGTTTCTGAATATTACCTCAAATAAGTGTGAAATTACCTGTTCTATGTTTACTCCATACCATAAAAATCAACAAAACGGCTAGTAAAACTGGAACCAGTTCATAAAAATAAACACTGCACTTTTATGTATGCGCTGAACAATTATGAAAGAGAAATGTTCTCTTCTTGGAATTCTGTGTCTCGCTCGCTCGCTCGCTCGCTTTTTTTCCCCACAATGTCGAATTCTGTCGATAGCTGAAGGAAACCTCTGCTCGTCGAGCGAGCCGTTTGGTCGCGTCTCCACCCATCAGAGAAACCCTAATCCTCGTCCCCTCCCTCCCCCTCCCCTCGAAGCCGCCATCGCCATGGCGACCCCCTTCCGCCCGTCCGCGCCCGCCCCGTCCGCCAAGGGCGGCTGCGGCGGCGACCGCTGCGCCTCCGGCCGCGACGCCTGGCCGCTCCACCACTTCCGGCACGAGGGGGTCTTCTGCCTCCTCTGCTCCTCCTGCGTGCTCCTCTACAGCCCGTCCGCCTTCTGCGCCTCCTGCCTCCACATCCTCTCCTCCTCCCCGGCCGCCGCCGCTGCTCCCCCGGGCGACCCCGCCGTCGCCGCGCCCGGGCCCACCGCGCCCTGCTCCGCCTGCGGCGTCTCCGTCGCGCACCTCTCCTGCGTCCCGGGGGCGGACCGTCACCCCTTCGTCTGCCCGCCCTGCGCCGCCACCGCCGAGGGCAGGGCCTTCTCCTTCGCGCCGGCGCCCGGCCGCCGCCCGCTCCAGGAGCGCGACGCGCGGGTCCTCCTCGTCGCCGCGCGCCTCGCGCACGACTCCGTCAGCCGCGCCGCGGCCGCCGCCCGCGAGGAAGCGGAGCGCCGCGTCGCCGAGGCCGCCGCGGCCAGGAAGCGCTCCCGCGAGATGCTCGACGCCGCCTTCCGCGCGCTCGAGGCGGAGGCCAGGGACGCCAAGATGAAGCCCGCCGCGGCCGCCCAGCCGCCACCACCCCCAAAGAAGAAGCCCGAGGCCAATAGGGACAGGGACAAGCTGCTCAAGCTCAACGCCATGCAGCAGCCTGCGCTGGCGTTCGCCGCGGCTGCTGCTGCGGCAGCAGCCACCTCGGTGCCATTGCCGACGCCCTCAATCAAGGAGGAGAAGCAGCCTGCCGTGAAACAGGAAGCGCAAGGTGGGCGATTTTGAACCACTGTAGATGGGAAGCCAATCTGTTACTCTCTGTTTACTGATTGCTGTGACATTCCTGCAGGTTCTGCGGCAGCACCGAGGGAGGATAAGGATCGCCCCCCGCTGTTTGGGACCTTGCAATCGTGAGATTGTTGATAGCTGTTCTGCATCCTGTATTCCGATTTGTTCTCTCATTTGTAGTGAAATGTTCTGCTGGCAGATATATTTTGCAAGACGAAATGCAACCAGGTTCTCCAGCTTCGAAACTGTGTCACTGATGGCTTTGGTTGTTTACCGACGGAGCTAGGTTCAGGAGGGACACTCAAACGCTATGCTCTAGTCGGGCAGCAGGGTTTTAGAACGACGAACATCCCTATTGCTCATCCGTTGTTGTTGCACTGTGGATTGGAACAAGTGCTTGGTTGATTGGTCCATGGGGCTCTCAAGTTACCTTCAAACAAATCTTTTTTTTTTCTTGAATACGTAAAAGATTTGCGTATTATTGTAATTAAGAAGAAGAGTTTAACCATACACGCGACACGCTTCTAATGAGCGCCCTAGGAGGTCTTATAGTTGTGACTGGACCTTCCTAGCAGACTGTTTCAAACTTCGATATTACATAAAAGTAATCAACCGAACTAAGAGCAGCGCAGTAACCTACAGAGCTGGGCGTCTCCGCTACTGACCGTGCGACCCTGCTCTGTCATCCGAGAAGAGTTTTCTACCAGTCCTAGCATTGGTCGCCGGGAACAGCACGTCTAGTGCTTCCACTTCGCTTGACGTCAAGTTCCTTCGAACAAATCTCCTTCATAAGTGAATGCTAGAGCTCATTGCATTGTTAAAAGTGTCATGAAAAGTGAGATTGATCGTATTCATGGAACACAATTGTGTGTTACGCAGATCTCCCACCCATTCGGTATATGCCAGTTTTGTTAGAGCTCACTGCTTTGTTAAGAAAACAGAGCTTGATGTTATTCGTGGAATGCAATTGTGTGGGCATACAGATCTCCCATTTCAATGTGCCACTTGTATATATTGTGCTGTTCAAAATCTCTGTTCTTACCCTAAAGCTTGCAGTCTTATACAACAGAGAGAATTTACATCAGAATGGATCCGTTCTCGTTAACCCCATTCTACATGTCAAGCGCTGCTACCAAGTCCCATAAAGAAATTTGATGGTTCATTGCCATATTATCACAATGGAGGTTTGATGGTTCAGTGCCATATTATCACAATGGAGATTTCCATTTTCCAACAGAACTCACTAGCTGTTTGGTGCTGAGAAATGTAACGCAAACGTAAATGATAATAAGCTGCGGACGTTACCGGCGGGATATACGTTTTAACTAATTTCATTTACGTTTCCGTTACTTGGGAACCAACCAAACAGCACGTCAAATGTCAACGTGTCATGCATATCCCAGAACATCTTACTGAAGCTGAAGTGAGGATCACTTATAAACATGTTTGCCCATAGATAAGTCAGGCGCACCATGTTTATGAATAACAAAACTATATGCCAGCACAACTGTAGTTTGGAAAGAATGAAGAACCAAACTTTGCCAGCACAGCTGTAGTTTGGAAAGAATTGGATGAGCGACACACTTATGGGCTACAACTACAACATACGCCTACATTAAAATTCAGCATTGTAAAACTAGCAGACGCCAAAACAGGACACGATGCACAGGCAAATCCGGAAGTTCATCTTGTCTTTGCTTGTGGAGTGTGGACTACTCAGTATTGTTTTCATTGACCTCTACTTTGTTCATGACATGGTTCATTGTTGCAAGGTTTGATCTAGTTATGCGCCAAATGAAGCAATGGCGTCCATCTCTTCTTGAAGCAGGAGTGCATCAACGAATACGTCCAGGCTCTCCCCCTCCATGACATCTGCTATGGAGTGGTGTGTGATTCCAACACGATGATCGGTGACACGGCCCTGTGGAAAGTTGTATGTTCTGATTCGCTCAGACCTGTCACCACTTCCAATCTGCAAAAAAGTTAGGCCCAGGAAGCCAGTAGCTAACAACTAACATGTGAGATAGAAATTTCGATTTTAGATTACCTGTTCTGATCGAAGCTTTGATCGGTCCATATGGAGTCTATGCCTCTCCAACTCATACAGTCGCGCTCGGAGAGCTTTCAGAGCTTTGGCCTTGTTCTATAGGGATAAATTAGCACGTTAGTTTCTTTATAATGGGCAGGGGACTTGCGCAGACTCAGTTCATTGGACTTGAAAGCTACGAATAATGCAATTGTACTAATGACAACAAGGCTATGAATAAACTAGTAAATATGGATGAAACATGAGTGAGAATGCGTGAAATGAGCTCTAGGAACCACTGCTTTCCAGGTTTTAAAAGGGAAACCCAAAGATATGACATTTAATAAAAAGGGGCAGACCCAGTGCCGGAGACTCCCACGTGAGTGGGGTCTGGGGAAGGAAAAAACCGAGACAAGCCTTCCCCCGCAAAATCTGTGGAGAGGCTGCTTCGAACCCACGACCTGGTGACTCAGTGAGACAGCTCTCACCACTGCACCAGGCCTGCCCTTCATGGCATTTAATGTGCACATAAAAAAAAATTCTTTCATGAACTTTGTAAAACCGAGACCCTTACCATGTGCTGTGATCTCTCATCTTGGATTGCAACCACTGTTCCGGTTGGAATATGAGTTATCCTAACAGCACTATCGGTTGTATTGACAGACTGACCTCCAGAGCCACCTGATCTGTAGGTATCAATTATCAGGTCCTCATTCCGCAGCTGGACATCAACCTGCATTTTCAGAAGAAACGATTTTATAACTGTTATAGTCATGCAACTGTCCAGATGAACAAACTTGAGAGGAATATGCCAAAAAAAAGTTGTATCGAATCGCAACCTCATCAGCTTGCGGAAGAACAACAACTGATACAGCACTAGTGTGCACTCGTCCAGATTTCTCAGTCACTGGCACTCGCTGCCATGAGTAGACAGGTCCAATTATAAAATGTCCAAATAGGTTAATATGATTGAAATGGTAAGTGGGTCCATTATTGCACCTGAACTCTATGAATGCCACTGTCGAGGACCAATAGTAGGGTACCCGAAGAGGAGGAGCTAATGACCATCAATATTGATTCATCCGAGCAGTCAAGAGCGCGACTACAGCTCCAACCGACCCCAGGCGCGAAGGCTCCGACTTGCCCGTCCTCTGGGGGCGGGCTCCGCCTCGCCCGACCCCGAGGCCGCGGGCTTCGCCTCGCCCGACCCCAAGCCTGCAGGCTCCGCCTCGCCCGACCCTGAGGTCACGGGCTCCGCCTCGCCCGACCCCGAGGCCGCGGGCTCCGCCTCGCCCAACCCTTGGGTTTGTGATCCGCCTCACCCGACCCCGAGGCCCCAGGCTCCGCCTCGCCCGACCTCTGGGGGCGGGTTCTGCCTCGTCCGACCCCGAGGCTGCGGGCTCCGCCTCACCCGACCCCGAGGCCCCGGGTTCCGTCTTGCCCGACGGGGACCCATATCACCGCCAACCACTCTAGGTCCAAGCGTATGGGCCTGGGTCAAAACTCTGACACCAAGAAAGAGATCGGCACGCCCCAATGTAACCCGTGGCCATGACGGGCCATAACTGAGGATTCTCGTCAAGAACAGCGTCGGCCGTACCGGTGCTGTTCTGCCTAACCCATGTACAAACGCTGACAGGCGCGTCAGCTCACCACGACGTCCGCTGCGACGAAATGGAACGCCATGACTAGCAGACGACGCCTGCGCATGGCGCCAGTAACGGATAGGGCCGCGACGTGGAGCTGTCCCTGTTGACATCTACAGGGTCAGCGGGACCCTCATGAAGGATGAGAAGGACCCGACGATCCTGAAGGACTTCTTCGCTCCCATTCTTCTCTTTTCCTCCGCTGTAACTCGTGCTTTCCCTTGGCTTATAAAAGGGAAAACAGGGCGTCCCATGAAGGGGGGGGGGCGATCTAATTAGAACCAATCAATCAAGATCGACACAAGAAGCATGACACGAGCACTAGGCTGAGCAGCAATCGGGCTCTCAACATCCGTTCACTCCTTTCACCAGAGACGTGGGATCCTTTCCCCCTCTCGCCCGTTTGTACCCCCTACTACAAACTTTCAGTGCTAGTAACACGAGCAGCAGCGACGAACTGGACGTAGGGACTTTTTGTCCGAACTTTCATCGTCACGACGGAGGGAGGGTTGGTGCAGGCTCCCGCCGCCGTCCAACCTTTCCACTTCACCGGCCTCGACACGATCGCCGAGGTGCTTGAGGAGCTGCAGCTGCCCGCACCGGAGGCCCACACCCCCGGGAGCGACCAGCTCCTCGGCTTCGATTACGGGAGGCTAGTGTGCCAGCTCGGCGCCTTCCTAGGACCCCAACCGTCCCGGGAGGACTTGCGCCACCTCACCTCAGGAACCTGGACTTCATCGTCACGACGGAGGGAGGGTTGGTGCAGGCTCCCGCCGCCGTCCAACCTTTCCACTTCACCGGCCTCGACACGATCGCCGAGGCGCTTGAGGAGCTGCAGCTGCCCGCACCGGAGGCCCACACCCCCGGGAGCGACCAGCTCCTCGGCTTCGATTACGGGAGGCTAGTGTGCCAGCTCGGCGCCTTCCTAGGACCCCAACCGTCCCGGGAGGACTTGCGCCACCTCACCTTCTCGTTCGCCAACGTCACGACGCAGCTTACCGAAGGAGAGCCGCTCTCCCCGGAATACCTCATCCGGAGCGCCCCGACAGCGCTCACGTCCGGTCTCCGCAACACCGTAGAGACCGTTGGCCACCCTGTGGCGCAACGCACACCTCCATCCCCCGCGAACGACGAGTTCGTGGGGATGACCGAATATGTCATGGAATCTTTCCACGACCTCCTCGCGGGAGAATCAGGGTCGCCCTCCAACTCTGACTCCAGCGGGGGGAGCCATCACCCCTCTCGTGAATGTTTCATGGCAGGTACCCCCGAGGGACATATCGAAAGCATCCACGAGGGAGAGGCTACCCCAACGAACGACCTCGACGACAAGATCGAGAGGGATGCAGGGGCCCCACCTCGCCTGCGGGTGGAGAAGCTGATGGCCCGGCACCAAGAGCTCAAGGAAGCACGACTCAAGCTTGAGCAGGAACACGCAGAGCTCGAGCAAGAGATCGAGCGCTACGGAGACGGCGGGCGTGCGCGCGCCGTGGCCCGCGACGTGAACCGGAGGATCATCGAGGACGATGAAGCCCTCCCACACTTCACCCGAGCGAGCCAGAACATCGCTGTTGCGGCGACCTTGCTCCGGGGGCTTACAGGGCCCATGACGCCCGAGGATTGTCGGGCCCATCGTGAGATTCGTAGGCTACTCGAGCGTGCGGCGGCGCAACAGGGCGAGAGCTCGCTGTCCCGACGACGCGAGCTCGACGCCAGCCAGCGCGCTCCCTCAGAGCGAACCAACATGGATATGTCAGTCCACCAGGCGCAGCGAGGCGGCAGGCCGCGCACCGCGGTCCCGGTGCACGAGCGTCTCGGCCGCAACCGTGATGCGCGCGACACCCTCGATGCCCGCAGGCGTACCCACGGCGATGCGAGGGAGGGGGCCAGCCACGGCTACCACCCTCGTCGTGGCGGACGCTACGACAACGGCGAGTACCGAAGCCCGAGCCCCGACTTGCCAGGACCTCAGGCCTTTGGCCGACACATTCTCAACGCCGCCTTTTCACCGCGGTACCGACCGCCGACCAACATCCCAAAATACTCCAGGGAAACGAACCCTGGACTATGGCTCGACGATTATCGGCTTGCTTGCCAAGCTGGTGGAGCGGATAATGACGATTTCATTATCCGCAACCTTCCATTGTTCTTGGCCGATTCGGCGAGAACGTGGTTGGAACACCTGCCGCCCAACAGAACCCAAAGTTGGGCGGAGCTAAAAGAGATCTTCGTGGGAAACTTCTAGGGCACATACACGCGTCCTGGGAACCCATGGGATCTAAAAAATAGCCGACAGAAGGTCGAGGAAACTCTTCGTGGGCATATCCAGCGCTTCTCCCGGCAGTGCAACAAGCTGCCTAACATCGCCGATGCCGACGCTGACGTCATAGGAGCCTTCCTGTCTGGGACCACCTACGAGTCCCTGGTTCACAAGCTGGACGTAAGGGCCCGCGAACCACCAAGGAGCTCCTCGACATCGCCACCAGCCACGCCTCGGGCGAGGAGGCGGTCGGAGCGATCTTCGACCGCCTCAAGGGCAAGGCAAAGCGGGACGAGGACGCCAGCGAAGGTGCCTCCAACCGTCCCAGCAAGAAGAAGAACAAGCAGCGGTGCGAGGGCTCGCTCGTGGCCGCCGCCAACTGCAAGGGGGTCGGAAGCCCGCCGAGGGCACCCCGGACCACTTCGAGAAGCTGCTCGAAGGACCATGTCCGAACCATGCTTTCCCCGTCAAGCATCTATACAAGGACTGTGGTCTCATGAAGCGGTTCTTGTCTGGAGGCTCTAATAAGGGGGAGCATAGGAAGGACCCCAAGCCGTCCATGGACAACGCCGAGGGGAAGGTCGGCGGCTTTCCGACGCCGGATGGCTGCCTCATGATCTTCGAAGGGTCAGCGGCCTACGACTCCAAGCGCCGCCAGAAGCTCGCGCGCCGTGAGGTCTATATGGCGAAGCCGGCCGCGCCTACCTTACTCCGATGGTTAGAGTCCGCCATAACCTTTTATCGGACCGACCACCCGGAGAGCGTCCCACAACCGGGGAGATATCCGCTCGTGGTTGAACCGATCATCGGCACGAAGCGGCTCACCAAGGTACTGATGGATGGAGGCAGCGGCCTCAACATCATGTACGCCGAAACGCTCGACGCCATAGCCATTGACCGATCGCGCATCCGATCGACCGGAGCGCCTTTCCACGGCATCGTGCCTAGAAAGCAGGCCGTGCCACTTGGGCAGATCGATCTGCCCGTCACCTTTGGGGATCTGACCAATTACAGGACGGAGACCCTTACCTTCAAGGTGGTCGAGTTTCACGGAACCTACCACGCCATCCTGGGACGTCCATGTTACGCGAAGTTCATGACCGTCCCCAACTACACCTATCCGAAGATGCCGGGACCGTGTGGGGTCATCACCATCGGCACCTACGAGTGCGAGGTCGAGTGCTGCGAACACGCCGCGGCAATCATCGCCTCCAAGGAGCTTACGGCCATCAGGAAGGAGGTCGCTGAAGAAGCACCCGACCCCAAGCGGTCGATGGGGTCTTTTGAGCCTGTACAGGGTGCCAAGGAGATCCTCATAGAACCCAACGGCTCCAAGGACAAAGTGGTGCGCATTGGTACCACGCTTTCCTCCGAATAGGAAAGCATGCTCGTCGATTTCCTCCGCGCCAACAGAGACATCTTTGCGTAGAAACCCTCGGACATGCCAGGCATTCCAAGAGAAGTCGCCGAGCATGCCTTGAAGATCTGGCCAGGCTCCACGCCGGTGAAGCAGCGCCTGTGTCTCTTCGACGAGGAGAAGCGCAGGGCCATCGGCGAAGAGATTGCAAAGCTTTTGGCGGCAGGGTTCATCAAGGAAGTAAAACACCCCGAGTGGTTAGCCAATCTTGTTCTGGTACGAAAAAAGAGTGGAAAATGGAGAATGTGTGTCGACTACACGGGTCTCAACAAAGCTTGTCCAAAGGATTCGTTTCCTTTGCCACGCATAGACCAAGCAGTCGACTCAACCTCAGGGTGCGAAACCCTTTGCTTCCTTAATGTATACTTTGGGTACGATCAAATCACGATGAAAGAATCCGACCAGCTCGC